TCTTTGTGGAAACAGCTTACCTCGCGGAGGGACAGCGGCTGAGACAGTGGATGTATGGACGAGACCGCAATGCGTTAGGTGCCATGCTCTAGTTGGGTTGCTCCATCCAATGTTGGGTCAGAGCTCTTTTTCCCTGGTGAATTAGTGGTATTCCTACGGAATCGTTACTCTTCGCGTTCTCTCTGTACTAGCGGTTTTATCTCGAAAAGTTGAAGATATTTGGGCTCAGAACGTAAGAACCACTACTTTGTGTTGTGGTAATTAGTGATTTGTGCTGCTCACTTCTGGACAGCTTTTGTCCTCTTGGTGTTACTTTTTTGTCTTTGATTGCCGCGTGGTATTTTGACGTGGTCTTCATATCATATTTTTCCTATGAAGATCAATGTCGTACTGTATACTCTACGGTTTACTGTTTTTCTGCGCTAGTGCAAAGAGCTTGAACTTTGTTCTGCTAGGCTGTTGATGGTTGTATTGATTCATTGAGATGAACTATTTTAGTGGCACGAACTACGGGTAATCACCGTGTAGTTATTAACTCAAGGGTGCATGCGGATATGTTTTTCGAGAGGATCGATCAGAAGCGATTGAAGATCAGCGCAACGACGCCGGATTCGAACGCAATGCAGATTTTCCTCGTCACCATTGGCTTCTCTGTAAGCTTAATCCGAAAACTTTTATTAGAATGATGATGTTTGTTTTTGATTCCAGAAAACCGCTTTAAATATCGATGAGTTCTGCGCGATAATGGAAGGTATACTCAAAAAAGAAAAAGCATGCGAATCTCTGAAGAGGAAGCGGAAAGTTAGTTTTTATCGTTTATTTCATTTGGCTGCTCAGTCGTTAGCAACAGTTTTGAAGCTCAATACTTACAACTTTGTAGGCAGAAGAAGAACCAGGAGCAGAGAAGGTCGCCAAGATGAATATTCACGACGAAACAGTTTCCAGTAAGGAAGCGACTCCTTCTGGTGCAGATGCGGCAGGAGAGGAGGAAGCAGAGAGTCCATCTGAAGAACAAAAGGAGAGTGAAGACAGCAAAGAGGATGATAGTGCCTGAAGTTTGAAAGTGGAGTAACGTTTGGTTTTGATGAGAGTTTGCGAACTGAAACCTTATTAGCATTTTTGAAGCATCAATTTCTAACTTTTGAGAATCTTGCTGAGTGGTAGACACGCATGCTCTCTATGTTGAATCTGTTTCCTTCTATTTCTTTACAGTATTCTCAGGATCTGATCTGCAGGCGCACCTCCACCTAGTGGAATTGCGATACCATGGGTGTGGGATAGGAAAAAGCTCATACTCAAAAGCTGCAGATGGAAGCATCATTCCTGACCAGCGTAAACTTTTTGACTACGCTGTGCTACTCTGCTTTTCTCCGATCAGTTTCTGGGACTTCTGTGACCTTTCGCTTCTAGCGCTTGATTTATTGCTTAACCGCTATCACAGATCGAGCCCTGTCTGCAGAACTAAAATCGCATCGTAGAAGCGGCGTACCCTTGCGTGTGTCTTACAGCCATGCAACCAACATTGCGCGCTCGATTTTAGCGCTTGGCACCAGCTCTGTGATGGCGACCACACTTGTTATTGATTCATTAGTTCAATTGTTCATTCTCGCAATGTGATTGGAATTCGATTACAACTGGGTAATTTTTGGCCGTCTACGCTGAGTAGTTTGCTTTTAATTGCACTGTTTTAGTAGGGATTTCAAGGAAAGTTGATGCCGGTGATTTTGAAATTTTGTATAAAATCCTGACATCGTTGATCTCATTAGGAAAGCCTATGAAGTCAACTCCAAATTTGCATGTTTGTGAATCACAGATAAAGTTTTAACCGATTTGTACTACTTCTCTGCTGTCGTCAACTTGATTTCGATGATGGTTTTGGGACATTCTTGGTAATGTTAAGCGCTCTCCGAATGTCAATCAATGAAATAACCAATTGTTAGGGCAGAATCTCCATAGTGCTCTCCATTGTGTCCTTTGTCCAAACGACAGCCGCGGTTTACGTGCAAGGACTACACACTTGCTGGTCATTACTTCTGATGAGGTCACATTTTGCGACCAGTAAGGTAGTTACTGCTCAAGTAAATGACATTAGAGGTGCGAAGCGGATCGTATGGGAAGAAAAAGGTAAAAAAAAAATCACAGACACAGGGAAATGATAGAAGTGGGAGCTCTTGTGGGCCATGACACACGTTCTCAGCCACGAGGGAAGGATGGTAGGTCGAAGTGGCCGTTCGAAATGAAATGTATACCTCCTGATGCGTCTCCAGACGCTGATTCCAAATCTGCCTTCCAAATCTGCTAAACGACTCTCCGAACGGAGTTATGAAGCGTAATAGCTCAGTGGTGATGGTCCGGGGTGGCAGGTAAAAGCTCGTAGGATCGGTTCCTTTGCAAGTTTGTTGCTTTGCTTTTGTCCGCAACACTTCTAGAGATCCTACGAGCTTTTACCTGCCACCCCGGACCATCACCACTGAGCTATTACGCTTCATAACTCCGTTCGGAGAGTCGTTTAGCAGATTTGGAAGGCAGATTTGGAATCAGCGTCTGGAGACGCATCAGGAGGTATACATTTCATTTTGAACGGCCACTTCGACCTACCATCCTTCCCTTGTAAGCTCTTCCTAACAAGAGAGGCACAGGAAAGGACTGAAGGGTAGACATCCGCTACTCGGGCGGCTACGAAGCCAGTAAGGGTGCCCTTTTGAGTGGAACTTGGAGGCTTGGCCGCCCCTGACGATCCTTTCAGGCAAGGATTTTCCTGGATTAATGCCTATGATTTTACAACTTTTCAAACTGACTGACATTGTTGATCCTACTGGGAAGAGTCACGAAGCCAAAAGCAGTTTCGATATACAGCAGGCAAAAAAGCCTAAACTGTAAGTAGTCCAACTTCAATATACTTACTGTAGGTTTCCACTCGCTAATAACACGAACTCGGGTAAACTCTTTAAATAGCCTTGTGCACGAACGACTTTGGAGGTCCAGCCCACGCAGACAATGTTCGGCGCCGCTTGAGCTATGCGAGATCTGCAACTCCATGACCCTAGTGGGCAGCGCCGTTCACCCTCCTGCCACGACATAGTCGGCTTAGTGGATGCCTTGGTAAAGACCTGTCCATTTGTGCGTAACAGCGCCACCCACTGATGAAGGAAAGCATGGTTCTTTAGCTACGTGCGCCGAGTCTTTTCACCAGCGGCAACTTTACCGACGAGCGATTTCAGCTCAACTAGGTGAGCTGCGATTCCGGTCTCGATTGCCTGATGGTCTTTAAAGGCAAGTCGACTTTGAGCTTCAGTCCGCCCTCAATCCACGAGCAATGCATCGATCTGTGTATCGGTCTACTATGAACGCCGTCCATCTGTGAGACCGCGCTGGTCTGTGGAACGCAGTGACTTGCACGCATCAATGCTCGTTAGTTAGCTCCGACTTCTCCAGTGTTTTTCAGAGTGGCCATGTTCCTGTTTTCATGATAAGAGCACCTTTATCGCCTGTTTTACAAAAACTCCGTCGCTCCAGCACTCCATATATGACTTAATGACGAGACAAGCACATAGAACAAATGCGGGCCTTCAACCCCTGTTTTCCCCTACTTACCTATAAATACGTTAGACCATCCCAGGGGCCTGACGGTCGAGAAGACTGGTAGGCTCGGCTCGCCAGCGAGGATGCCATAGANTACACATTGTGGCCTCACTCGTATAACTTCGAGCTAATGGTCTTCCATATAAACATTGACATTATCTAGGAACGTGTACATGCTTGGCCCAATACGGGAACATGACAAGCTGCTTGGGGTTTGCCGGAATGCCGAATTTCTTCTCTGAGCTTCTATCGGCGACTTCATCTTTCCGTACTCAAGGTGAAATTCTACCAGATCTTATCATCTTTTGATCAAAACATGTCAGCGTAGCACTACTTACTCTAACAAGGAAGGTCTTTCAGGGTGTGCCAAGCTTTTCAAAACGGTCTTTTGCATGATATAGAGGCACATGCGGGAACCACAGAACCATGGTTAATTTTTCCTGAACGGCCCTCTGAATACCAGAAAAGGGGTCCCTAGTCACACCTTTTTCACCAGTTTTTCAATCAAAGTCTATTTGTAAGGGTTACTGACGTTCCTAATCATGAATTTGGTACTAATTATTCATGCTAACTCCATTTTGCGCGAATTTGGAAACGTCAACACGAAATGCAAAAATTTGTCACCACGAGGAATCGAACTAGGGACCCCTTTTCTGGTATTCAGAGAGCCGTTCAGGAAAAATGAACCATGCTTCTGTGGTCCCCATATGTGCCCCAATGTCATGCAAGAAACCATTTTGAAAAGCTTGGCACATACTGAAAAAGCCCCCTCCCCTCTGTATGTTCACAAATTTCTTGTCGTCATCTATCATTTCCTTGGGATCTCCGAGAAGCGAAAACTGCAATTTTTTTACCAAATTTTTTATTTCGACGCACGCCCCGCCCACTGGAGGCGGAGTTTAGCATGGCCAATATATTCCCTTAAGAGCGACTCATACTCTACCCATTCCAAACTTGACCCGCCCTCCCTTAGGTGATTTTTGAAGGAAGAATTATAAACATGTGGGGGACACTTGCGAATTTTTGGGGAGCGGTCAGACAAACAAACTCTGGTTTATATAATAGTATGATAGTGTCTTACAAAATACGAATCGCACAGTTTTCCGTTTCTTTCCTCCTTTTCGACAGCGACTTATGCAGCGCCATTTCGACAGTCCACTAAATCGGTTTTCTGCAAGCAGTGGACTCCTCTATGAAAGCCTTCATCATCGAATTCAGGAAAAAGAATTCTGCGCGCGTTTCAACTTTTTCCAAGTGTGCATGCTCCTGGAAAGAGATTATAAAGAGGATAAATGGATGAAGCACCCGGCGCTGGTCACTCCTATTTTGCGATGGCACCACGTATCCCGTTTTCTTCGGAGTCTTAGTGTTTTGAATGAGATCTGGTGCATACAAGGATGTTGCAGGGCCAGCCAATGTATAGGCTGGGGTTTTTCATCCTCCCACAAATGTCCGGCACCTATTGACTCCATGGAAGGCTCAAAACTTGGTTCACCTGAGCGAGAACTTTACCACGTGCGCGGTTGCTGGTGGACTCGTCCTTGAACCTAACTTGCACTACACCTGTCCTCAGAGAGTCACAAAGACATCTGAAGATGGCATATACCGTCTACTGTTTTACATACAAATCATCCCTTATGGTATTCCGGATGCTTACAATGAGCGGAATAACTTAATTTTATGCTGAACCAAATAATTTTATGTTGGAATGACAGTTGGAATCTTGAATCGTATTATATTTTAATGATTCTCATTTGAGTTTATTAGGCTGCCCCGTAATGTAGTAGTTGTTCAAGCGAATTCCCCAATAACACAACCAAGGTTTGTACCTATTTTGGATGAACTCGTGATAAGGATTTTGAAAGGAGAACTATTGATTCGTCCTAGGAGGTCATGTACTTTGATTGGCATTATCATTGATTTCTCGGTTAGTGGCTGCCTCCCATAAAATTCTCGTTATCATACCGGTGCTTGATTTTAAGACGTTGCCTTTTTGGATGTCACGAGGCTGCAGTTCTTGGAGATATCCTGTGGTATTCTGCAGCCTTTTCCTATGAACTAGTGTTTGGATAGATTGTTAGGTTGGACGTTGGCGTTGAAAGATGAACTTCCGCTGCCCTTCTTGAAGTTATTCATTGTGAAAGTGAAAATATTACACTGATAACTCACTCCTTCTTCTAACACGTACGTGATGTTCTTGGGTTTATGGGCAACAGCAGTACCATCCCATAGTCATAAAATGTGAAAAACTCAGTGTTCCTGACAGTTTCGATAAGAGTTT